ATTTTTGGGGGGGGTCCATGACGCATTGTTGGAGTTGATTTATTTTAAACTACTTTTATATGTTTGGGAGGGGGGAATGAATTTGATATGAGGACATAAAGTTATTAGGTTTTTTTTCCTTATCTTGAACGTTTTTTCTTTTCTTTTTTTCTTTTCCAAGAATGTGGAAGAGACGTTTCCAGGAGTCATGGCCGGTTTGGTGAAGATACCGACTGGTGGCGTCAGTGGCGGGTACGGACGGAGGCGGAGACAGATAGACCACTCATCCATACTTAGCATTTATGATGGCTTACTTGATACCTGACCAGAAAAAAAAGGCTGACTACGGCGCAGCAACTTGGACTTGCCTTCTTGAGAAATTTTCAGCCTGGTCCTACTAGTGAATGTAAGACTCTGGATAAGCCTCTAACAAAGAACTTGAGTCATCGCTGTGGCTGAGTTTCTGTTCTAGTAGTTTCCTTCCCAGTCGGTCTGGTTATTGGGACGGAGTAAGAAGGGATCGACCGGTGACTGGGCGGATAGCGAGGAATGCCCCAGGAGGTGCCAGAATAGTGAATAGGTACTAGTTAGATAGGTAGACTGAACGATGGCAGGTGGCATTTTCCTTGGTTTCAATCATCACGTTATCGGCCTATCATTGCTTGGAGGCCCTGACTAAGTTACTGAATTGGGTACTTTGCCTCTCGCCTCCCCTCACTTCCACTCTTTCTCCTCTTCTCTCTCCTCTCTCCTACCTATTTAACCCGCGCCTCCCTCCACTTCCGCCCTTTCCCCTCTTTCCATTCCACCTTCTCTCTTGGACTGAGTCTGACGTCTGTATTCCACGCACTCTTCCATCAACTTCTCGTCCTAGATCATCGTCTTTTCTTTCTACACCTCTACTGTGATATCCTGCCCATCATGCAGATCTTCGTCAAGACCCGTGAGTGTTCTCATCCTTCGTCTCCGCTGACGCCATTTTAAGAGCCGTCCGCTAACCACCTTTTCATCTATAGTCACCGGCAAGACCATCACCCTTGAGGTCGAGTCCAGCGATACCATCGACAACGTGAAGAGCAAGATCCAGGATAAGGAGGGCATTCCCCCTGACCAGCAGCGCCTGATCTTCGCTGGCAAGCAGCTGGAGGACGGCCGTACCCTGTCCGACTACAACATCCAGAAGGAATCGACTCTTCACTTGGTCCTGCGCCTGCGTGGCGGTATGCAGATTTGTAAGTTCCACCGTCTCGCCACCCGACGGGAAGACACGTACTAACTTGATTCCAGTCGTCAAGACCCTCACTGGCAAGACCATCACCCTCGAGGTCGAGTCCAGCGACACCATCGATAATGTCAAGAGCAAGATCCAGGACAAGGAGGGCATCCCCCCCGATCAGCAGCGCCTGATCTTCGCTGGCAAGCAGCTGGAGGATGGCCGTACCCTGTCCGACTACAACATCCAGAAGGAATCGACTCTTCACTTGGTCCTGCGTCTCCGCGGTGGCATGCAAATCTTCGTCAAGACCCTGACCGGAAAGACCATCACCCTGGAGGTGGAGTCGTCCGACACCATTGACAACGTGAAGTCCAAGATCCAAGACAAGGAGGGCATCCCGCCCGACCAACAGCGTCTCATCTTCGCTGGCAAGCAGCTGGAAGATGGCCGCACCCTGTCCGATTACAACATTCAGAAAGAGTCCACCTTGCACCTCGTCCTCCGTCTCCGTGGTGGTATGCAGATTTTCGTCAAGACCCTGACCGGGAAGACGATCACATTGGAAGTGGAGAGCTCCGACACGATCGACAACGTCAAGTCGAAGATCCAGGACAAGGAGGGCATCCCCCCGGACCAGCAGCGTCTCATCTTCGCTGGTAAGCAGCTAGAGGATGGGCGCACGCTCTCGGATTACAACATCCAGAAGGAGAGCACTCTGCACCTGGTCCTCCGTCTCCGTGGGGGCAACTAATGTCTTTCCTTGATTCTCTGCTATCACGGCTCATACGGGATGGCATGCATGGCGTTGGGCTGGTTTCTTCGGTTTTTATGACACGGTTATGGTCATTATTAGCTTCTATCATACCTGACCACTGCGACAGCGGTGGTCCTCGTTCCTTATCAATGAACTATTGAGACAGACTATTGTTTGTAGATTGTAACTTGATTCTATCCACAGTAAGATGTTCCTCCACAGGATATGACTGTCGCCACCCTATGTGAGGTACGCGCCAGGCGTTTTATCGCCGTTCGTCGGTACCTTATCAACAACCCACTTCCCGACCAGGGTGGATGACCTATGGGGCGATACGGGTCTAGACATAGAATGGAGGTCTAGACTACAAGGATTGATTATTTTGATGGTCTTATCGGTGTTTTTTATGGCTTTTGGCAGTCAGGCATGGATATATTCACCTTGAATGTTTTGCCACTAGGACTTCAATCGCTACCTCGTTGGCAAATCAACGTTCATTATAGTTGAGCATAAAGTAAAGAGATTAAATAAAAGTAAAATAAGATTCAAAACTTTTCCACAAATCCTCAAATTTTTCGACGTTTTCTCCAACCATCAACTGGTCATGTGGGCGGAACGTTGAAAACGGGCAGTAAAACTTCCCACCCGTCAATCAACATCGTCATCATCATCAACCAAATAACTCCATACCCTTGATCTCCACCACAAGTCCCTTCGGATTTGATGGAGCTATTCCTGAACCACCACTCAGTAGTGTGAGCATCTGTCGCGATGCCCTCCTACTTCTACCACCTCGCCATTGAACTGTTTGCCCGCCCCCACAACGACCTCCGAAGCTCCTCTCCAGACCGATCCCCAACATCGCTATCCTTTGACTCCGCATGCGAAGCTCTCCTTCCCTTCCACAAGCGATCGACCTCACACCGCAACAACCCCCGCGACCTGAGGGCCACCTCCAACAACAGCAGAACCCCTCGCCCTTCCACCTCCGACACTCGCCCCTCTGACACGACACACCCCGCCACGACCCCACCACACACCTACACAACCTCACAAACAAGCACCCCCGCGTTCGAAAAAGACCTCCGCCTCGATAAAGTCTCCATCGCGTGCATCGACATGATCCCCCTAGACCAGGACCTCGGCGGCTCGCGCCGCGCAGCCTCCACCCGGCGCGTCGACGACAACCCCGTCGCGACGGGCATCGGAACAGACATCCTCGGTGGCCTGCGCACCAAAGGAAAATACATCCCGCTGGATCAGTCCGTCTCGGAAAGCGTCTGGGGCATCGTCCACCTCTACCGCGATCTCCAGGATACGCCCTCCCTCACGGAAGATGCCGATTATCCGCCGGATCTGAAGGGCTCCGCCGCTGCGAGACAGCCGCATGATGAGTTGGGTGGGGATGGTCGTCGGGGAGAGCACAGGCAGCTCCAGCTGCGGCAGTCTTCGTCGTCGGCTGTTGTGTCGTCGTCGAGGGGCCGTCTGGATGAGGAAGACTGCACGACGCTGTGTATACTTGCTGTGCCGTCTTATATGTCGCCATCGGACTTTTTGGGGTTTGTGGGGGAGGCTACTATGGATGATGTTAGCCATTTTCGGATGATTCGCACGGCGAGGGCGAATCGGTATATGGTTTTGATGAAGTTTCGGAGTGGGAGGAAGGCGAGGGATTGGCAGAGGGAGTGGAATGGGAAGGTGTTCAATAGTATGGAGGTAGGTCATTCTTCATGGCTTGCTTTTCGTTATAGGAAACTGTCTAACCTCTATCCTGCAGCCTGAAACGTGCCATGTGGTCTTTGTGAAGACGGTGGAAATTCAAGCAGTCGACTTGGAAATGCAGACGCCAGCGACCAGCCCTCAGCGGACCCTGTCCTCAGCCAGCCAGACCAGCCCCATCCCATCAGCTTCACTCTCCACCAGACCGCTAGCCCCTCCCACACCAGCCCTCGTCGAGCTGCCAACATGCCCCGTTTGCCTAGAGCGCATGGACGAAACCACCGGCCTCCTCACCATCATCTGCCAGCACGTCTTCCACTGCACCTGTCTCCAGAAGTGGAAAGGCAGCGGCTGCCCCGTCTGCCGCTACACGCAAGACGACATCCGCCACACACTCCCCAGCGCGTTCTCCGAAGACGACCCTGCCCAGTGCAATGTCTGCCACTCGGAGCTCAACCTCTGGGTGTGCCTCATCTGCGGCGCCGTCGGCTGCGGGCGGTACGACGGCGCGCACGCCTTCGCGCACTTCAAAGAGACATCCCACGCCTTCGCCATGGACCTCTCCACCCAGCGCGTCTGGGACTACATCGGCGACGCCTACGTCCACCGCATCATCCAGAGCAAAACCGACGGCAAGCTCGTCGAGCTCCCCGCCGCAGACAACAGCGCCCTCGATCCCCCAGACTGGACGGACGCCGTGCCCCGCGAGAAACTCGAAAACATGAGCGTCGAATACACCCACCTCCTCACCAGCCAGCTCGAGAGCCAGCGCGCCTACTTCGAGGAAGTCGTCCAGCGCGCCGTCGACAAAGCCTCGCAGGCTTCCGTCGCCGCATCATCCGCCCAAGACGCGGCCACCACCGCAAACAACACCCTACAGACCCTCCAAGCGAAGTACGACAGACTCGCATCGGACACCCTCCCGGCCCTCGAGCGCGATAAATCCCGCGCGGAGAAACGAGCCGAGAAGTTCGAGGCTATGGCGCGGAAGATGGAGAAGGAGTGGCGCGAGGAGAAGACTATGAATGAGAGCTTGATGGGGCGGGTTGAACACCTCACTACGGAGGTTGACACGCTGAAGGTTTCCAATGCGGATCTGGCTGACCAGAACCGCGACCTCACGTTCTTTATTAGTGGGTCTGAGCGGTTGAAGGATCAGAGTGATGATGTTGTGCAGGGGACAGTGAGCGTGCCTGAGCCGGAGAGCAAGGGGAAGAAGAAGAAGGGGAAGGGGAGGAAGAAGTAACCTACCTACGCGGACTATCTATTATTGATTACTTCTACTGCTGTGGGATATGCTATGCATGCTATGGTCTCTGGATGGTCTGCTAGTCACGCTAGCTTGGTTGTCTTGTTGGCGACGCTGAACACTTCAGTGGGGTTCGTCTGTTGTTGGAGATGGGCGCCGTGTAGTGCACGTATTGCATAAAATCTAGCATGTACACTACAATACACTAACGAATATGGAATGAGTTCAACATGATAGCAATAGATAATATCATTTGCTGTAACTAGTGTATGCTGATCATTCTGTTCTACAATGCTATAATCTCATAATCGTCTAAATCTAATCTACACTATATATACAACCCCACAGCACAACACACATACCCTCCGACCATCCCAACGAAACAAACCACCCACTCAAAGCAAAAAAGCTCAAGAACAAAAGAGGAAATAAAGAAACAACCAAAGAAAGAAGTTCAAACCCCCCTCCTAACCGCCCAAAAATAATTCCCCCAACCCTCCGAACCCGGCACCATCTTCCACCCCACCCCGGGAAAATACACCACCCCCCCAACACACCACCTCATGCCCTCGCCCAACGCGCCCCCACCGCCCCTAACAGTAACGCCCCGATCCGCACCCCTCATCAGCGCCTCCTGCACCCACCCTTCCAACTCATCCGGATTGACGAACTTCGCCCAGTCGTGCGTGCCCCGCGGGACGACGCCCACCGGCCACGGCGCTTCGGCGATGACCTGGTTGATGAGGTAGGAGGTGAGGGTGCGGGAGATGGTCGAGCCGATTAGCCATCCGCCTGGGCGGACGAGGCGCAGACAGTCTGTGAGGAAGGTTGTGGGGTTGCTGGTTGGGGAGGTGTTGTCGATGTGTTCGATTACTTCGAAGAGGGTGACCACGTCGTATTGGTTTGAGGTGGGGATGGTGGGGGTTTGTGTGGGGGAGGGGGATGATGGTGATGATGGTGATGATGATTGGGGAGCGGGAGAGGAGGAAGAGACGTGATCTTCCAGAGTACAGTTCTTGTAGGTGAATGTGCCGTTCCGGAGATGTTCCGCGACGATAGGATCCGTCCGGGCGTGGTCGCGCGCAATCTGGATGAGAGTCGGCGAGGGATCAAGCGCTGTTATCGACGCTGCGCGGGTGTGTGTCTGCGAGCTTGAGGCAGGGTTGATAGTGCGCGCGAGCGACTCCGCGAAGATACCTCCTCCGCAGCCGATGTCGAGATATTTAAGCGTGTTTGCGTTTCCCACCTCTTTCCCGGTGTTGTTCTCGGTAGAAGTAGCCGGCGGGGTCCCCTGCGCGAGGCAAGATGCGATAAAATCATGTCGGAGAGGATTCATCAGGTGCAGGACGCGCGAGGGACCTTGCGGATCCCACCAGCTGCTGGCTAGTGCGGAGAAGTGGGAGAGTTCATTTGCGGAGACGGTGGAGTGGGCTCTTTGGCATTGCTTCTGTTGGCGGAGGAGGAGGAGACGGGATGTTGGGAGGGCCCGGAGAGTTGGGCGGAGGGTGGCCATGCCGTTGTATTCTTCTTTTGCTTTCCTTCTTGATTGATTGATGGGGGTTGGTTTGCGCGATGGTGTTTTGGTTTTGGTTTGTTTGAGTGAGGATAGGTCTGGTTGCGATTGTAGGTAAAGCAGAAGCAACTAAGTGGAATTAGATATAATGACAGTGTAATGAACTAGCAATGGTGGTTCTTACTCTATCTAACGCATCTGATATCGCGAGTTCGACTGCGATGGCGGATGAGGTTCTTCGGAACATAAAATGCGATCATCGTGAGACAAACAAGACAAATGTGCCAAGCTTGCAACAGACTGCCCAGTGCCTCCTGGTCGCATTGGGAGTACGGGTGTTTGTTTCTGATTTGATTGAGATCATTTGTTTTTTAGTCATGTATATCATATTATATGTGGTTTCATTGAGAGGTTATTATCATATTCTACATGCGCATCCTGTAGAGTATAGTTCGAGTTCTAGACTAAACGTGAAAAGACTCCAACTCCTACCAAAACTAACCAACAGGTAAATGCATACCATACAGTAAGGTAATACCGTATCTTCCAGAATCCTTCCTGTTCAGGAGACAGAGAAGAAAGATGGAGAAAGAAAGGAGAAAAGGGGAGAGAGATATCCACCCTTTAACATCTCATGCCTTGGTCAGTTACGTACTACCGCAATAATAGTAATCAAGTCAGCCAGCTATTGCCTTTTTTGAAAGTAGTTCTTTGATTTATTTTGATTGATCTGCCAAAGACCTAGGTTAGTCTCTCCTTTCCCCATCCCGAGTGATATCACGGACCCAGAACGTGGCCTAGTCTGTTCAATAGTCTCCTTCTACGGGCCTTCCAGAAGGTGGTGATTCTTCTTTTTTCGTTTTTTCTTTGCTAACCAAGTCGGTGTGTTAGTTGCATTCTTGATGGGTCCGTCCTTCGTGTTGCTAACTTCCTAACTCACTGGTAGTTAGTAAGTTAGTTGGGTCTGCTCGTCTTGCCTTGTTTAGCGCGACGCTCGGGAATGTTCCTACCGCTCCGCTTGACGATCATCGGTGTGCAATGATGAAGGATTTGACTGACTGACTGACACGCAGTGGGTTGTTTGCAGATGGGCTAAATGTGTTGTACTCCGTAGTCAATCAAATTAGGGATAGTAGGGAGGACGGACTGATGGAGAGACTCTCGACTCGGTTTGAGACTGGAGTATCTGTCTCCCCGGATGGATCCTGAGTGGTAGGACGGACTGATGTTGAGGATGCGGTGAGTTTTACTGAAGCTGCGGGACTCCGTCTGTAGAATAACAATGGTCTTGTCTCCTTCCTTTCTCGTTTGCTTTGACTTATTTATATTTATATTTATCATTTATTCTGTTAATAATATCTTTCCCTTTTGTGCAGCATACTTTAAACCCCGACCGAGGATCAGATCTGTTAGTGGCTAGGATAAAACTAGGATGTTGCGGATGCCTAGATAAGGCCCCTTTTCGGTCCTACCAAAGGAACAGGATTCTCCGGATGGCGGTCGAGATTAGGGGAGTCATGGCGTACCGGTGTTCTGTGTTCGGTGCACAGGTCTACCAGCACTCTGTGTTTGGTACACCCGTGCCGGCAACCCATCGATTGAATCTGTGGTACGTCCGGGGATGAACCATTGATTTTATTCTCGCGCACCGCTCAATACATTTGGCATATGTGCTCCGTATGTTCCCATTACACCGTAATCATGGACCATACACCACCGGTGTCAAGTGTCAATACAATACAATAGTCCAGATCGCTGCTGCACGACTACTGACTAGTAGCAGGAGTTTCTACTTTCGACAATAGACAGGCGGATCACATGGATGGATGGGTCTGGGATAATCCAAACAGCAAGATATACTCTCGGTAACGGGACGGGCATCGCTGCATGGTGCATAGTCCGGCAAATGGAGTAGACGACGATCGCTGCAATCGACATCATCCGTCCCGTATTCCAGCCACCCCTGGTGGGGACCTTTCTTGACCCTTGTTCCCCTAATCCCCTTCCACACTACCATCAAGGCGGAGGGTCGGGTTGATTAGTTGAAACCTGGGATAAAACCACCGGCTGTAAAGGAGTAAATGCCGCTGGTCCAATCATCGAAGGCGTGGCTCTCCGCCTGGTCAGCCACAGTATTCGGGCCCGAGCTGCCCCTGAGTTGCCCGGATTTTGGCGGAACTATCCCTGTAAGAATATGTAAGACACCGGGCGCGTGGGGCTGAGGTGTCGATGGTCCGGTTGACTCACCTCACCTCGCTCTCACGGACTTCTGCAGGATTGATCATTACTTCTGTGGTTATTATTGTCGTTGGAATTATACTTCAGAAATAGACAACAGCCATAGTACCCAGTTGTACCATGGCAGCCTGATTTTATGGGTATGTACCTCCTGCAAGGCTGCACCAAATCAACCCCGTAGCTTCGAGTAATCATCATCGTGGCTCCTATAAGAGCCTCCAGGAAAACAATCAGGCTCAGGCCAAGTCCTCCCAGATGACGCACAACGCATGGGTCCTCGCTTTAGAAGGAATTCGAACATTTCTAGAAGCTCTCCTCGGGGCACCGGACAGTCTTGGCATGCAGGTGGACCCCCTCAACCCCCCCTTCGCGTATAGGCAGTGGGGGAAAAAAGAAAATAAAAAAGAAAACAAAAAAGAAAACAAAAAAGAAGACAGAAAATAAAAGAAAATAAAAGAAAAGGAAAGGGAAAAAAAGTATCAGACCACCTGCAGGAAAACCGAAAAAGAAAAGGAGTACAAAATAGCGGCAGAGACTTTACTGGGCGTGGGAGGGATGCGCGGGTGGGGGGTTCTGGGAATTGGTCGCAGCCTCCTCCGTCAGGTCCGTACACTAGCCAGAACTAAAGGTACTAGGGCGTCTCACTAGGGCCGTCTCACTGGCCCTCGGTTGGTGGATGGATTGGGGGAATGGGAAAGGGGGGGATGGACAGTATTGGAGGGGGGAAATGAAACGCGACTTCTGTTCTAGTAGTTCCCTGTGGAGGGACATGATTGAGTTATATGTGGTACTTCGTACATACTATGGAGACGGTCAGCATGTGGTCTATGACAGGTAGGTTTGAGCAATTCGATCCCCATCTTAGACAAAGCTGCTGTCCCTGCAGCTGGAGCGGATAAGGTAGTATAAGGTCGTATAATATGTGGACTGTGGAACGAAGTGCACGGTCAGGATGATTCAAGAAATAGTCAATCAATAATAACGAATAAAGAATAATAATAACCAGGATGATGGGCCGATGGGCCCCATTATTCGAAACTTTCTAGAAGGAAATTAGCTTCCCACCGTTGTCCATTGTCAATCTCCTTAGTTTCCTTAGTCTCCTTAGCTCTTTGCACGGGGAGCCTAAATCCCGAGGATTCAAAAGGGGTAAAGACTGATCCAACCTACACTATGTAATAGTCAGATAACATAGTTGATAAGTCATGAACTGCTTGACTCGATGATACTGTCTTATTAATTGATCTTCATTTATTTCTTGGTTGATCGTGAGTGATTTATAATATATAGATATATATATATATTTCTATTATTGTCCTACTGTATGTCCTGAAACTGAGCCAGGAGCGGAGAGGGGTCATGCACAAATAAGGGTGACTTATTTTATATTATTTTATTTTCCCGGAGAACAAGACCCGTTTGGTCAGACTCACTTTGTGTAAAGGATTTGCAGCGGTGTCTTCCCCTGAGGTCATTTTATGGGGCTAAACCACCCCATCGGCCACCCTGATTGACCGTTCAGGGACCGATACCTGATTCAGGTGGGTGACAGAAGAGCGGTGGAATGTCGCACGATGAACACTGGGCCTATACCATTCTTAGTAATAGATGGAGATATTCCGTGAATATTCAATAGTATTATTTATAACAAATCGATGATTATAAAATCAGGATGACGGGAATTCAAGGAAGCAGAGAAAAGAATGGATAGAATAGGAGGATAAAATAACGTGGTTCCAGGTTCTGGGGAAGTCGGGCTTGGCTATGATTGATATCCGAGATGCTGAATGGTTCTTACCCCTTCTTGCGTCATATCCTGACTCCCTGGTCCCTGGTTTGTATGTTATAATTATAAAAACCAGATCATTAGTCGCAGTAAAAAGAAGAAGAAAAGAAAAGAAGAAAAGATAATATAGATCGGCACGTACCCACCATCCAGGAGCACGGCCAAAGGGACGGGGAAAGCCACGCGGTGGAGCCGAGGTGTTGCTGACGGTGACCTTCTGGTGCCGCCAGCGTCCTTCTACGGGGGAAAAGAGAGAAGGAGGTGGGGAATCACCGACTGATTTAATTAATGATGGGATTCTTCCATCTTTCATCATTTAGTTCGGTATTCGTATAATACTAGTCCGTTGTTGGTGGACTTGAAGTGGAAACGTGGGAAAAGGTGGTTTAGTATTGTCCAACTACTAACTAGTGAGGCCCAGTAATAAGACCACCGGAGTGCCTGGATACTAATTATAATCTTTTTTAATTTTAAAACTCCCCATGGTCTTCCATACATAGTACTCATACTCCAACGGTCTCTTCTTCTTCTTCTTCTTCTTCTTTTTCTTCATCATCTTCTTCATCTCATCCTTAGTATCTTCTATCTATCTTTCTCAGATACTCCAACTGCAGAACGAGAACGACGGCTGTATCAATACCGGCTGTGACAAAGTTACCCGACTGTAGGTATTCCCGTACTGCCTGCATTTCCGCCAACAAAACCTCCGAAACGCTTTTTCCCTTGTCACGTCGTCATCATCATCTCCCTCATTCATCTATCTCAAGCCTCATCTTTCTCTCCTTCGACTCTTTTTCTTTTTTTGTTTGCCGTTCTTCTACTGCTGCTACTCCCATCTCTCCCTTATCCCCCCTGTTCGTCGTCATTTCAAAACACGTGGTTCGGGACTGATCCCCCCCACTCTTCCTTTCCTTTTTTTCTTGTCTATCACAGCCTCCTCTTACCGTCCGTTTTCTTTCAATTACTTACCTCCCCGTCAGGCTTTCATTTGCTTCCTTAGGATTGCGACTCTTTGGCAACCATCCATCTACCGACCATCCTCAAACGCTTGGAATAGCCACTTTGCGCACGCCTCTTGATCTCCCCGCAATCCTCGACTCTGAGCTTTCTCCGTCCAGGATCTGATAGGCGTAAACGGTTCCCGGTTCTTGGTAAGTGTTTGCGTGTTTACCACCTCCCCCGCTGGTCGGCTCCCGTGGCGCATTTTCCCTCAACGTCCCGCGTACTCTCTGGTTTGTGTTTCGTGTCGCCTGGAGATGTTTCTCTCATTTGGTGTGAAATCTGACTGCCTCGAGTTTTGCGCGGAGATCAAATCGCGCTTGAAATCCCGGCGCAGATGCTCGTCGGATGCGCTGGAATCCCACCCTCGCTTTCCAGCGTGGTGGAAGATCCCAGCTCTGTCGGGGCGCGGGAGTCTACCGCGGGCTATTGCTATTACCTCTGCGCAACTTGCTAATGCGGTGATGTTTTCAGTCCAGAAGGAACCATCGATACGACGCCTGAGCCGCTGACATCACCGATCAAATCGAGAACGACTCTACAAACAACTGCGCGACGGTCCGACAGCTCGAATCTAGCGCACTGCGAATAGAGTTTGCTCCGGGATAGCCATCAGAGAGTTTTTGGTTCCTGACCCTGCACCTATCCGCCTATACACCCCACACAGAGTCGCGACTTGCGGAGGAACACAGACGTACAGACGTCGTGTGAGTCGGAATCGATCAAGCGCTTGGACCCCTGATTGCCGACAAACAGTGGTCGTTTGTCGCTCAACTGAACGGGGTGCCTTCCAGCCAACCTCGCGAGGCCTTGGCCCAGATTCCCGCATTCTCGGTTACGAAATCAGAGGACCTCCCCCACCGCTGTGACACTGTTGGAAGAATATCCTGCGGCTCCGCGTTTGAAATATACCTCAACTGATTCCCAAACCATCCCTGACGCCCGCGTTTCCGCTTGCTGCTGGGTTGGGTCATGGATATCACAACCATCTTGAACAGAAAAGGTTCTACCGCTATGGTTGCCGGAGAATCACCATTTGACCAGCAACAGTTTGTGTCAAACCATAGCCTGGAGAACAACTCGCCCAAATTGAAACCGGAGCCCGGGATCTCGGAATCTGGGGATCAGCCGGTCCTGTCGTATCCGCCCCATGCGCCCCTCGGTCAGGTGTCCGGTATGCAGCAAGACATGCGCTACTCGCAACCCCATCAGACCCCCGCATTGCCGCTTCTGCAAAATCCGTATCTCCCGGGGGGGTATGCGACAACGGCCCAGCTTTCCAACGGTGCTCCGGGCAGGACCGAGCCTCCTCCCAAGACATTCCACTGCTCGACCTGCAATAAAGGGTTTGCCCGCCGCAGCGACCTTGCCCGTCATGGTACGTATCTGAGAAGTGTTTTCATTGACATCTTGTATCTAACTTGTTCCCAGAACGAATCCACACCGGCGTTAGGCCGCATGCTTGTGATTGGCCAGGCTGTGGGAAGCAATTCATCCAGCGCTCCGCCTTGACGGTACACTCGCGTGTCCACACGGGCGAAAAGCCACACATGTGTGAAAGATGTGGCAAGGTATGTTGATGTCCGTTCCTCCTTTCTATGACCGTACTGACCCATCCAGCCCTTCAGTGATTCGTCTTCCTTGGCTCGTCACCGCAGGATCCACTCGGGCAAGCGGCCTTACAAATGCCCGTACGCGAATTGCCAAAAGACCTTCACGCGTCGCACAACCCTGACACGGCATCAAAATCACCACACGGGTACCATCGAAGAAGCCGCCGCAGAGACCGAAGCCAACCTGCGACAAAACAAGGAGAGGGGGAGGCTGCCGGGGGATAGCATGTTCCCCGACACCGACTCGGTCCATTCCACTCCGTCTCCGGCTCATCATCCCATCTCCCCGGGTGGCGAGCTTCCCCCGCTGAACATGCCTCGTCAAGAGTATTACATGGGGAACGGATCGATTCCGCCCCATGTTCGCGGCGACTTTGTTCAACCCAGCCCGCGAGCCTCCCCCACGGCTACATCGCCGTCGCTGTCCACCTACAGTAACCCGCACCCTCGACCGTCCATGACCTCGCATCCGAGTGCCTACGCTCCGCCGCAGCCTCTGGAGCCGCCTGCGAACAACGACCACCGGCCCAACAGCGTCAGTGGAAGCCCGCACATGACCAGTCTGGGCTGGGCATCCCCGTCGCACGGGAGTATCCCTTCTCCGGGATCCGCGAATGACTACGCGCCGTACCCGGACTCGGGTGGATCCACGTATGCGAGCTCGATGCCCCCTCACATGTACTTTCCCAACTCCACGATCCGACGGCCTACCAGCACCGAGCCCGAGAACTACGAGATGAGGCCCCGACTGGGTGAAAGCCCGTGGTCTACGCCTGTCTAGAGACTCGACTTGATCACATCTCTTGGGTTTTACCAAGATCAATTATTTTATTCCGCAATCTCCTTTGTTCTTTCCCCGATTGTTTCTATTGATGTTCTGTTGTTTATCCTGCATAGCATTTGGTCACTTTCCATTATTCTGTCGTTACTTCATCACTGGTTATCCAACATGCCACCATCATAGCATTTCCTGGGTTGCAAGCGTGCAGGAAGGAGTCCGAGCGAGCTTTTTCTCTTTTTGTTGTCTTCCCTGTGTCTGTTTGATTTGAGCTCTTGGTTTAAATTTTTGCTTCATCTTTCCCTCTGTTATTTCTCCCATTTCATTCCCCTAATGCACGACACGACCAAGGACGAAAGAAAGCATCTTTACACATATATAGATAGAGTGGGAACCGGGGACACACGGTTGGTTGGGTTAGTTCATGGATATATTGGAAGGGTGGGATAACAAAATGGGAAATCTGGGTCTTTGGTCGTTTCTTTCTCCCCCCCCCCCCCCCCCTACTGTGCATTTATCATCTACCATTGTTTGATTTGACTTGATTTGATCGTGTTCTGTGTTAATCTTGTTTGTTTGCTTTGTTACCCCTGCATTATATTATACTATATTACCTATATCTAATATTGTGTATTTACACTTGCACTTTATACTTGTCTAATATTGCATATCCATCTATATCTATTTCTTCAGCTTGTCGTTCTTTATCTTTCCCCCCTCTTCTTTTCCTTTTTTTTTTCTTTGTGATGCAAGCGTGTCAATACCATACATACCATATCGTCATATACCAGACTTTCTGATTTTGTGACTGATTGTTTTTCCTCTTGTTGATATCTTCGCGCACTTACACTGTGCTATTGAGCTAGATTCAAAGACAATCAGACAGATAAATAGATCAATCGAAAGATAAGATAGGATAGACCTCAAAATCGCCATCGACTTACTGACTAATTAATTCCACGCCACACAGAGATATGATAAATCCACGAGTAGTCAGATAGATAGATAGATAGATAGATAGATAGATAGATAGATAGATTGATTGATTGATTGATTGATTGATACGAATGGGATGGGTGAACCTTGGAAACAAAGAGAAGATGGAGTATTTCCTTTAGTCGATAGACCCAGTCGTCGGCGCGTCGATGATGGTCGTGGTGGAGGAGGGGCTGGTCTACATACATATTTAGTTTGTCTGTCTGCTTGTCTGTTTAGTTGTGTACCATCAAGTCTAGAATGTCTTCCTGACCTTTCTTACTACGTTACGAAGATGGATGGAATGTTGGGGATTGGGACTGGAGATTGGGGATTGTAAATTATATGCTGGAGTCAGCTGATTCTTAGCATGTTGCAACATTACAAGGGGGAATGAGGATGATACGTGGATGGAGAAATAGAATGAGAATGAGAATGAATAAATGAATGATATTTTGACCATGTCAATGTAAAACAAGATCCGGGGATGAGAGCAGATGGAAAAAGAAAATAAGCAGACCCATCCCGGACGCCATGCACCATACTGTGAGTTCTTTGGATGGTTCCTCCTTTTTTTCTTTTCTCCCCTGGTGAGGAGAATAAAATAGATTGTTGAATGTATTGGTGGATGTTGATGATGATGATGACGATGATAAGGGTTGTAAGTGGAGATGAAGATGGTGAATAGGGAGATCGGGAGAGGTTAATAAGGTACACCGCTAGTATTCAGCCCAGCCGGACACCGACAATCACAGACGGCCGGCGCAATCTGCGGCTGGGAGCGGCCCAGCGCGCGGGCGACCAGCGTCCCTGCGACGGAGGCAGGCGCCGCGGCGTCTTTTCCGGAGGAGAGGAGGGCGAAGCGGAGGAAGACTTCTGAGATGGTGACTACGATGGAGATGAGGATAAGAACGATGATGATCCATGTTTGGTCTGTTGATGTTAGTTAGTTTGGTTGATTGTGGTGGGTTTTGGGTTGGGTTATTTAGGGGGAGGAGGGGGGAGACGCACGAGAGGTCCGGTTGTCTGCTATTGAGTCGGAGAGTATCTCGGCTAGATCTAGAAAGACGCGGCATCGTTCGTTGAGGACTTGGATTCGGGGCTTGATTTCGAGGTATTCGCGGACTGCGATGTATAGGGGGTAGAGGGTTGGTTCGCTCTCCCAGAAGAAGTTGGGGACGTCGAGCATGTTGGATGCTGCGGGATATTAGTATCGCGGTACGGCAGGAATGAATTCCCATGTAGGGGAAGGTGGGGACATACAGAGGTTGACCTCGACTCTGCTCTTGAACAGCCGTCCTAAAATGCGAAAGACTTCCTCCCGCTTCATGCCCAGTTTTCCTGTCATGGCGAGTCGGCGCGGAACGTCCTTGGCTTCGCTCATCTGGCGCGCCATGACTTCTTCGAAAAAGCATAGTTTCGTGCTCTGCGAGATGCCGTGGCTGATGGCCAGCTTGATCATGTGGTCGCCGCTGCGCAGGGTGATCATGTCGTTGTAGACGCGGGGCCGCGAGATTTCGGTCGAGTATTCGAAGTGGAATTCTTCGGTCTCGAAGTCCTCTTCTTGTAGCGGCATCGTGGCCAGCGGCATGGGAGAACCCGTGGCGGACGACGTCGCGAATGCCAGATCGGCTAGGAGGTCCTTCTCTTGCTTCTCGGTGAAGTTCCAGAAGACGACAACGCCGTAGCTGAATACGAACATCTCGGCCACGTTGTAGGGCAGTCGTGCCGCGGCTGACTGTAACTGCTGGCCGTGGGAGCTCTGGTCATTCTCGGCGGTTGCTCTCCTCTCTGCGTCACCGTTGTGATCTTCCCCGTAATGATGGAGTAGTTCGCCGGATCCTTGCTGGTGGTGCGGCGAGCCGTGTTCCCCGTGCTCCCCATGTTCTCCGTGCTCCCCACGACCCCCCACAACCGAGTGCTCCTCCGACTCCATGTCATAGTCGTGATAATCGCGTAGCTCATTCCGTTCAATCTCTTCATCAAGCAGAGACTTGCCCCCGGGTTTCTTCACAATCGGACTGCTCCTCAACCGGTAGCCGTCATCCCCAGGCAACAGAGGCAGGTGGTACGCCGTATACAAACAATCATCGTACAGCTTTGTCCGCCCCCCATGCCTGTCTTTCACAAACGCCGACAACGAACTCATCTTATAAGCCTGCGCCGTGCAATAAGCCGTCACACGAGCGAGTTTCTCCGCGCGCCGTGCCTTAGGCAACCGCTCCGCATAACTCTTCGCCTTCTCAGGCGCGATCTTCCTCCGACGGAGAAGCTCTTCCTCAGCCAACAGCGGAGCAATCTCATTATCGACGCCGAAGTCTCCCGCAAGCTTCCTCTGCACCAGCAATTGCTGCCTCACAGCCTCAGGGTCCACATTCTTCTCCCGGGCGACTCTCAAAACCAGCTCTTCGTCCACGGCCTCCTCATCCTCCTCCTCCTCGTCCTCATCGCTCGGCATCTTCCGCTCGACCCCCTCCGCCTCCGGTAAAAGCACCAGCTTCTCGCTGACTTTCGTCGTCCGCGGAGGCAGACGCGGTTGCGCCGCTAGACGGCCCATTGTCGCCGCCGTGTTCACTGCACTACCGCCGCCAGCGGCACCCGCGCCGGGAACGGCACCGGTCGCTCCTATCAGGCCGCCTCCGAGACGCGAGCGGGGGCGACTCCGCGGGGTATCGGGGGGATGGCGCTGCTGCATGGAGGGCACGTCGGAGGAGTATTGGAGGACATTGTCGACGGTGATGAGGCGGGTTGAGGGGGAGCGGCGGCGGCGGGGTTGAGCGGCTTGTTGCTGGTCGCGCGAGTCGGTCACCTGCGACTGTCAGTAGGGTTGGGGGACGGTGAGTGGTTTGTGAGAGCTCACCAGGACATGGGGACTTCGCTGGCTCGGCACTCGTCCTTTTGCGGGCGCCATTGTCACAGCTCAGGCAAACTTATTTTTTGCTCAGGCACACAGTTGAGGATTCCAGCTTTGTATTCTCAGTTGAATGAGTCAGAACACCCCAATTATCCTCGATGTTGATAGATAAGAGACGACCTAAACGTCTGTGGTTGGTCGTGGTTGGTCGTGGTTGGTCGTTGTACCAGAGTCAAAGTCCAGATCAGAAAAGACCCATGACTCTAGTCCTCGATACGGACGTAAATCAGCGAATGGTAGAATCAATGTCAACAATCAAATGTATCCCATCCGTCCTTCTTCTGAATGAAGTACCTATGAACAACCAGACAGTCCAACAGACAAACGATAAAACGCACCGACCTGACGAACTCTAGCTCTCCCGAGAGCCTCTTTCCTCCCACCGCCGCAACCGACTCTAACCTATTCCAGCCTAGCCGACTTTCCAAAAATGACGTCGGTAGAAAACCAATACAGTACCACCATACACTCAATACATCAATACCACCCGGTATGGTAACCCAGCTGTAATATCCATCAAGACAATTCGGCCGGCCACGTGCGGGCCGACGCGTCTAGACCGCGTTGAGGCTAGTCAATCAATCAATCAATCAATCAATCAATCAATCATCTGGGGTAACTTACTTGCTTACTCACTTACTGACTTACCTTACTTTGTCACACTCTTATTGTTTAAAATGGGTGTCAGGGTCGGGGTGTACAAAGACTATACAGAAAGTATAAATGGATTAAACTTGATTCTATTGTTATATGTATATAGATTGTTTTAGAACAAATTACCGGTGTCCCTCCCTAATGGACGTTGTCAAGTGGGGCGTGGGTCAGAAATACCAGCCCACTCGCCGGCCGGTCGCTCGCCGCCCATCGGCCATCACCTAAGAGGGGTAAACTAAACTACCTTCCTTACTCCGTAGTGTCCGCTACGTACCCTAACTTACCCTGACTGTGCTCGGAGACCGTCTCCGTGAGGGATGCAATTAGGAAAGAGATGGGCCTCTCCATCCCGTCCTTAATCTATCTTCCCTGGCCTAACACACGGGACGCAACGGAAGTCTCACTGGAATGGGCGGAATGATTTTAGATTTGAGTTTCCCGATTGATGTCTCCTTGCAGGAGACTACCTAATTAGGGGCTTCCTTGCATGCCGACACTTCTCTATACATCCAATTATAAGCAACCATGGCTACTAATCAATACAATGATGGTATTGTATGCAAATTGCCAAGAATCAAAAACATGTGGCTGATGTAGGGAACAAAGGAAAGGTATAAGGG